GGGGGGGGGGGGGGGTGGTAATAAGAGAGCCAGGCAATAAAGCAATTAGCAAGATTTATTAAAAGATTGTGCTGGCATTAGTATTGCTGTGGATACATTATTACAGAATTGTAATATTCATCATAAAACTATTAGCTGATTTATTATTTTAGCATAGTAAGTAGTATTAGCTAAATTTTTTAACATAGGAAAGAGGAAAACCAGCAGCCATATTGCTCAGAGTTGCCATCTGCCTACATCAGGCATGCTCAGAGACGTCCACGCTCCAAGTTTCCAGGTCCACGCCTGGAGGACACGTCCATGGCCTCCACACTGAGCCGAGACGGCCTCAAGGTCATTGCTAACAGAACAAGCAGCGGACAGGCCGTGGCAAGGAATGCACACTTTTTTGGGAACAAACCCTTCCTTCCAGTCCCTGTAGCGGGTTGACGCTGGGGTCAGAGGCGCTATTAGTCTTCGCCATCTGCTGTAGAAGCAAAGGATGCAGTATGAATGCTCTCTAGTTACCCGAGGGGAACGGACTGTGCCCTGCTCAGGGAACCCACAATCCATGTGCCTGTGGTCACATCTGGGATGGCCCTTCGTCCCAGTGCTCCGGCGCTCTGCCTACAGACTCCTCCTGGAAGGGCTTTGGAAGAGGATGCAGAGAACGGGAAAGAGAGGAGGTTGGTTTTCAAATCTCCAAGTTGACTTGGGGCCCGGCTTTCAGTCTCCAGGTGGCCACGAAGGGGAGCACCATTTCGGATACAGCAGACAGGGCTTCCTGTGCTAATTATCCTTAGTGTGAACGACTGGTAAGTGAGGGGAGATCTTCACAGCACACACCAAAGCACCCAGAGGAAGGACTACTCTCTTGGGCCATCTAATAACATTTTATAGAAATGTTATAGGATGGTATTTACATGTTACACAATTATTACCTAGTAACATGTATACATACATTTATATACACATTTTAATACGTAATTACATATTATATAGAGATGTTTTAGACATATGATATGATATACAAATGTTATTAGATATGTTAGGTCTATATATATTGTGTTGCATATTATGTTATTAAATATATAATGCACAGATTATATGCTATATGTATAGTGAATAGGTAACATATAATTCATTTTGATGGCTTGCTGGATGGCATACTAGGTTTCTAAGAGGGAGAACTTTCTCAAAATTCAGCTTCAAACCCTCAGTTGCAAGGAAAGGGCGGCCAAGCAAAATGTTCTAACGTTCCAAATCAGTGGACGCAATCACTTCATTTCAAACGAGGCAGCCACAGAGCTCTCAGCACACCAGACACAGGGCTTACGTCCGTTTCTGGAGGAGACACTGGGCTCCAAAGAGGCGGAGGCAGGAGCCACGGGCTGAGTTCCGACGTCAGTGCTGGTACAGAAGATCCAGGCCCAGGAGGTGCAAATACAGAGCAAGGGCCTGGCCCAGGAGGGAGCATTCTTGTTTGGTTGGCTTATTTATTTTGCATCAAGTGCTAACCTAAAATTTGTGTCGCGCTGACTGCCACAAATTACACCGACTGCAAACTCTCTATGCTGGCGGAGAGTCACGGTCCCGGCCAACACACCATGTGTGCTGGAAACATTCGAATCAATGTTTCTCATCAACTCAGTAGAGACTGTCTTCATTCCAACAGAAGTCAGCCAATCTCGTAGCGTTTAAATTTATGCTGCTAAGTTTATATAAGAATAGTGCTTCCAAATGTTTCCACTGGGGGCCGTGGCCAGGACAAGTGGAGGAAAGGTGAAAAGAAAGGCCAGTTTTAAAGTGATCAATAAATCACACTCCATGTATCCTTAACAGCCAATGATAACGAACACTGTCCTGCCCTGTCCTTTGAGTTTTCCATGTCAGGCTCCTTCTTGAATAACGTCACTTAGTTCAATGCCATTTTGTTATTGCATTGATGAGATGCTGTAGAAACGTAAATCTTGTTGATATCAATTAGTCTCTGGTAACATTGGTTTCCTTCTGTGACATTTTGCCACAGTTTCAAGAACCTGTCGATGATGCTAGTGAGGACTTAACTGTAGTTTCTTTTGTTTGTGATAAAATTTATATACATTGAAATGTATGGATTTCTATACAGCTAGAGAATGCCTTGACCTTCAGAATCATAGCATGATTTATGTCAGCCAACAATCTTTTGGCTCCGTTGTTAAAATTTAACTGAACTCTTTATTCCATTGACTTGTCTGTCCTCTTATAACAATATCATACTGTCTTAATAACTAACTTTAGAGTAGTAAGTCTTGAAGTCAGTTCAAATCCATCAACTTTGTTGGTCTTCGTTGTTGTTTTTCAAGACTGTTTTGGCTATTCTAGGGTCTATGCACTTCATTTAAGTTTTAAGATTGATTTATAATTTCTTTTTTAAAAATTGTACTGAATTGAACTTACAGATTAATTTAGGGAGAATTTCTCTCTTCAAAATGCTGTATATTTTAAACCACGAAATGGTACATTCTCTACTTACTTAGGTCTTCTTTAATTCCTTTCGGTAATATATTTTTCAGTGAACAGACAGTGCATGTCACTTGTTAAATTTATTCCAAAAAATTTTATGATTTTTGATACTTTGTAAAGAAAGTTTTAAAATTTCATTTTCTAGTTGTTTGCTGTTAATGTATAAAAATACCTCACTTATATATAACGATGTTGTATCCAAAAATCTTGCTAAATTCAATTTTGAGATCTAGCAATGTCTTTATAGATTTCTTTGGAATTTTTACATAAACTTATCTTCTATAAATAGAGTTGTTTTACTTCTTCCTTTCTGACCATTATGTCTTTTATTTCTTTCTTGACTTATTGCTATGGCTAACCACTCCGATATAATGTTGAACAGAAGTGCAAAACACATTTGCCTGATTTCCCATCTTTAGGAGGAGGAAATTCAGTCTCCTCACATGAAGAATAATACATTTTTTCCACTGCCTTTCTCAGGTTGAGGAAATTATCTCCATTTCTAGATTGCTGAGAATTTTTATGAATGAATGTTGTATTAATGAAACTTTTTCTGTACCTCTCATCTATTTTCTGTATCTATTAAGATTATTTTATTCTCCTTTATTTTACTAAATACTGAATCACACCAGGGACTGACTTTCAAACTCTAACCTTTTCCCGGGATAAAACCTTATTCGCTGCAAAGTATTATCCTTCCTATATACTGCTTGACTGTCAGTGTTAATGGGTTGCACCTGGTTCATTTGATGATCTACCACTTTTGTTTCCTGTCTTGTCTTGTCCAGTTTTGCCATCAGGTGAGGACAGCCTCATGACTTCATCTGATGAACTACTCTGCCACCTCAGGAGCCAGGGCCCTGAGCACAGACTTTGTCTATGACTGCTCAGCAGACGTCACAGTTCACACTAGTCCCCCTTCCCGTCTCCACACCCACAGCACAAAACCCTGGCAGATAAATTTCAAGACATCATTTTGGCTTCAGAGCCCCACATTCCTCTCCATTACCAAGTGGTATGAAGTTATTAGAGAAAAACTCAGTTCAAATCTCGGTCCAACCACCGGGTTTTAGTTTTGCACTAAGGAAATGGTGCTAATTTTACTAATCGTGTGTGGTGGGTGTGCGTGTGAATTAGAGCAATGAGTGTAAGCAGGTGACGGAGCCTGGGACAGAGTGAGCTCTCATAAAAGATGGCTCCTACTGCCGTCACCATGAAGTGCTACTCTTATATGAAGAACATATATCGAAGTAAGACTTAAGGAGCTTTCTCCTAGAAACTCAAGATGGCTTTCTATACTTCACTGCAATGTAATACCTGACAAGTTCCTGCCCCTAACCCTTCTCTGTGTGGGGGCGCGGGGAGGATAGAGGATTCAAGAGCACTACCTACCCTGAAGATACCGGGCTTTTTCCTCAGGGCTTAAAAAAATCAGTCTTCCTTCTCAAACTGAAATTATCTGCTTAACTCAGCAGAACGGACATGTGTCCCGCCCACCACAGAGGGGTTCTAGGCCCTGTCTGGACTCCTCTTGATTAGTGGGCGAGAAAGGCACCGAGGAGGAAAGACTCTAAGACAGGGGCTCTGTGGGTCTGGACACATCATCACGCAGTGCACATACAAGCAGGTGACCCAGCCCTTCTCAGGCTCCAAGTCAACAATTTTCACTCCATGCTTCAATCCTGAGTGGGGTGTTTGTTTTTACTGAGCCACTGAAGAGAATGGCTTTGAACATCACATAGGCCACAAAAAAGAAAGCTTTTGTTTAATGCAATACATAAAATTATGCCCAGTCTCGCCCCAGGAGAAGGGTAGCAATCCTGATGTACTCATTCTGTGGCTACAGACATAAAGTTCCCTTTGTGCCACAAAACAGAAAGAAAGAGGAAATAAATTTTTAAAGAACCTGTTTATAAGAACATCAAACAGCAAAATAAAATCACTCAAAACATCTACATGCACAGCTATCTGAGGACAGAGACTAATGATGCAGGAAGGAGCGTGTTATATAAGCTGAATCAAGTAATCATAAATTCTTACCAAGGCTTCATGATCTTCTGCAACTTCTGGTATCGCCTGCAAAATTTAAGAACAATCATGTGAGGAGCATGTTTGAAAGCAATCATTTTTTTTACACAAATTACATATCTTGAAGAAAGCTCAAGATTACATATAAAAAGACTTAACCGCCATGAGGTAATATATTATTCAAAGTAATATACTGATGGGTATTCTGTAATAATAAGAGACAATCATAAGGGTTAAACTACTGTAACCAACCTACTACATTTACTTATGAGTAAGGGCAACAAGGCCACTCCATTTGACTCAGAACCAATATGTGTTCAAGGGGAGGAGGGAGAAATCCCTAGAGATAATAAGAATAAGGTACCTTTTCAGTGAAAAGGGTGACACCTAAAAGTACTAGAGTTGTTCTTAAGCGTATCCTCAACAATAAAAATGGAGTTGATTATCTTTCTTGGGTAAAATGCCCACTGATTTTACTTTCTCTTTTCTTGAGAGAAATAAAATTCTGAAGTTTGGCATCCTGAGACATGGCAGTAGTCTTGGACAATAGATGGAACTCCGGGATGGTAGCCTGCAAGAAAAGTGTGCAATGGACACATCTTGTCTACAAGAAAGGACGATTATGCTTCTTAAAACACTGGGGTCAAGAAGATAAGGAAGCAACTGATTCTAACCTTGTCACACCACTGGCATTCCCCGAGTCTGCCAGGTCTCTCTGACATTATGTTCTTCCCTCTGTACTCAATACCCACCCCTCCTTGTCCAACTCGCTAAATCCTACCCTCAACTGTCCTGATTCTAAGGCCCCAGGGAAGCCTCCCTGACCGCTGACTTCCCTGCCTGGCAGACGGAGCCCACCCATGTCTGCATGTGCTGAGGACACGTCAGCTGCATGACCTAGGACATCTGTCCTTCCTGGAGCCCCTTGAAGGCAGGGCTCTGTCTGCGCTGTGACTCACCACTATGACGTCAGGCACATGCAGAGCTGGCTCTCAGTAAACGGTTGATGAATAAGTTGGCTCTTCAGAAGTTAAATTTCCCATTTGCAACCACATAAAATGTAACCACTTCAGAAATCTAACTGACCATGAGAAGATCAGATCTAGTCTTTGGTAAAACAGGGGTTTAAAAAACACATGAAGAGATCTTCCTCTTCCTCTTCTCCTCCTTTACCTGCCCTTCTTAACACAAAACAACACAAACAAAACAGTGTATTGGCTTCCTTCCTTCTTCCTGGAAAAAACTGGGTAACAGGAGTAGGTGACCACAGGGGGACAGGCTCAGGCACAGGGGGGCCCTCTTGGAAGGGCTGAACAGTACCTCCCACTGAAAGGAACTGGCCTCCTTGGAGCAATGGCTCCTGCCAGGGCTGGGACAAGGAAAGATTTAGCTAAGTCTGGAACATCTCACTGAGCCAGAACGTAAAGAAATGCTCACAGAATAATGGGAGGCAGGTCAGGACACAGAGACAGCCTGAAGAAGGTTCCACAGCCAGATCTGGGACACACTGAGCATCAGAATAAATAATAAATGATAGAGGATAGCCCACTGAATAAAACAGGAACAGGTAAGTCCACATTGTTCTATAGGGCGGTGTGCCAGGACTATTGAAGAACCAAGTCTCTCAGGGAAAAAACATACAAGCCTCATTTGTTCCATTCTCCATTTTCCATGGTGTAAATTACTCCAAAATTATTACTGACAAAGGGGCGCGACATTACCATGCAGACCCCGGGAGGCACTATCTTAAGTGGTCAAAGTAAACACTAGTAACAAGACAGAGAGGCACCCTGTGCCATCAATATGATGCAATTAAAAACAACATGCACACGCGCATCTGTGGTATCCCAGCCACAGGCATACATATGGGTCGAAACTTTGGATAAGACTGTAGGAAAAAAAGATGTGTTTCAGTGGAAAATTATGCAGTGTTTATATAGCATACTCTTCTGGGTTATCAGGTTCCTCCTGCCTTATTGTCTAACTGATGCATATGTATATTTTGTCCTGTCTGTTAGTAATTTAATTGACTTCCTTCCTGCTGGTAAGAAACCAGTTTTATCTCCATTTGCAATTCATTTCAACATTCCTGTGCTGCAAATAAATTTGAGCCCCTTTAACTTTTCCTTTGAAATGGTTAAAACATTTTGCCTGGCTCTCTCATTTCACATGAGTAAAATGAATTCTTTTAACATGCGTTCATTTTTTATATAAAACATGCTTTTATCTTTCCCTGAAAATTAACTTTAATGAATTACCCTTTAACAAACCCAAATTGGAGGATATTGTACAAAATGGCTGATCTATAGTCTTAAATGTGCCAAAGTCATGAGTGAAAGGAACAGTGAGAAGCAGCTTCAGACAAAGAGGTTAGGAAAAAGCCGGACAACTGGGTGCGAGGCGTTACCTGAGTCCGGTCTTTGTATGAAGGACAACAGGTGGGATCTGACCTTGCAACTTTCCCATTCAGTGTGTGACTGTTAAATTAAGCCAGGAGACTGGCAGACTGAGGTCACTCCAATGCAAACCAAAATCTAAGCCATTAACTGCCTCAAGTTTTCAACCAATCACAGCCAAGTAGGCTTTAATTATAGCCAATCAAATAATTCCCTTGTTTTGCCCGCCTCTTCTCTATAATAGCCTTTCCCCCCAGGTTCCTGTGGGCAGAGAGTTCCTCACCACCTCCAGTTTGGCACTGAGGAACCTGAATTGATTTTTGCTCAAATCAATTCTTAGAATTTTCAGTATGCCTCCGTTTATCTTTTAAAAGAACTGTTTCAAAATAAATCATATGATGTGTGTGTGTGTGTGTGTGTGTGTGTGTGTGTGTGTGTGCGCGCGCGTAATATATACAGCAGGCCCACGATTTCCCAATGGAGCCTTCTGGCCTGGGGCCTGGGCACCTGAGGTTTTTACGTGTGTTCCCCACCCTGTGGCCACCCCTGGCCTGGGAGAGGTGCCCTGACCAGCCTGCAGAGATAAACTCAGCCACCAGTCACTCCTCCACTTCCTCACAATAGCTGCACATTAAGCAGGAGCAGAAGAGGAACTTTTTTGTTGTGATGTCTGTTTTCCTAATGGAGGGCCTTCCTCTTTGTGTCTCTCAAAATACCCAGCTTTTAAAGAGACAGGACAAGAAGAACAGATGATTCTGGAAAAGCTGATGTTCTGCAGTGGCCAGCAGCCTCTTATTTCAGCCCAAGGTATGGCATTCCTTTCCCAAGCGGAAGATAATCTCTCTCCCTGGGTGGTGGGACCCCCTCTCATTTCCACCCACAGACACAGACAAAGCCAAGAGGGGTGGGGTGGAGGGAAATCCAGCTTCAGGAATTTCCCGCCCAATAACCCCTGACAAAGCCCTGGGTAGTGGGCCCCTTTGTCGTTTGTGATGCAAATGTCTGGGAGGCCCCAGAGGGCTGCTCCCTTTGGACCTGCCTGAGCTTGGCAGGGTGCATGCCCCAGGCCGGCAGGCAGGGGGCGTGAGAGACCCGCAGCCTTTACAGCCGGTGGGCCCCGCAGACCTCACAGAGCAGCTTCCTTGTGCAGGGCCTGGGAGCAGTTTGCTCCTCCAGGTGAAGTGCAGGCCCTGCACCTGGGGACTTGCACGTGGAGGCCCAGCAGCAAGTCTCTGGCCTGGCCGGGGCCTTGCAGTGCAGCCCAGGTTTATAAACCACGCCAAGCTCTCCGACACAAGAGCACGAGTTAGAGCTGATAATCCCTGTCCCTGGAGGCGAACAACGTGGCTTCCAAAACAGAAATTCACCTTTTGTGTGAAGACAACCTTTCAAAGAATGTCACTCCTAGTCTGAAACTCACTTGATACAACCCCCCGCCCCCCGCCCCGCCATGTGCCTAACCCAGTGTCCACAATAGGCAGCATCAAATAGCATCCACTGGCTAAAGGAATAAAACCTGCAAACCCATCCCGAGTGTGGGTGCTGGGCAACATCAAAACCAAGGCTTCACTCAGGCCACGCCCCGATTTCCTCAGGGAAGAAACGCCACAGCTGTGATGCCCACATGGAAAACATGATGCGAAGAATGAACGTTTAATAAGAAACTGTTTGTGTGTGAATGAACATTGTCAATGATTTTTATAAGCACACACACACATAGCGAGACATGCACACAGGGTGCTGGCTTCTGTGTCATGTGAACGACAGGATGGGGAGGGAACTGATCATTTCTATGATTGTTGTTTTGAAGACCATTGCTCAGGGGCTGTGCCTACGTCTAAAATAACTGGGGGACTCTTTCCACTGTTCCTCTGCGGCCAAATTCGGGAGCGATGACTTCAAACCAAGCAAATAAAAAGTCCTTGTAAATTCCCCAGATTAGGAAGAACTCCTCCAATACCTCACTGTGATTTCCTTAGAAAAGCTAGAATCGCTCGGGAAACATCCGCCCAGCATTGACCGGACTCATAACTGCATGGTCAAGTACAGATGAGGGCATTTCAGCAGTTGTGGGGATGCTCTTATTTTAAAACGGCTTGAAAACGGGTACAGTCTCTGAATCGGGAATTTCAGTCCAACATGATAATTTGAATTTTCACAATAGTTTTGCTAAATGAAAAGCTGATTGGAAAATTCTCACAATCATAGAAAACAATGTAAATGTTCAACCACAGGGGAACGATTAACCACACTGAGCCTACCCTTCACATTATTATGTTATTCTGTGAATCAACCGAACCTCAGCAAAGCTTTACAAATGAATTCATACTCAGACGACAAATACGATGAGGGGAATACTATTCAGTCACAAGAAAATACTGTCAGGTATGAAAAGCAAGCTACAAAGAGCATGAAGGTTATAATTCTACTTTTCTAAAGCCTGTGCATGCATGTGCATGTGTGTCTCTGTGTGCATGTGTGTATGTCTGTGTCTGTGCCTGTCTCTCTGTATGTGTGTGTATATATGTGCGTGCGTGTGTGTGTGTGTGTGTGTGTGTGTAGGAGAACATACAGAAAGTATACACACCCCAGTGTCAAAAATGTGTCTTGGGAAAGCTGGATTAGACATGATTCCTATTTTCCTGCTTCTGC